TTTTTTTTATTTTATTTTTTATTTTGCACACAAATTTACAATGACATTATCAAATCTCACAATGCCCAGCGATATTTCAGCAGCCGTCATGTTTATTTACATTGGATATTGTAGTTCCGGTCAGTGTTGTAATTAATACGCTAAGAATTGTGTCTCGTGCGGCATGGTAGTTACAGATGTATGTCTCGTGCGGCATGGTAATTAAAGTCCCATCAACGACACAGCTTTCAAAGAAGCTATATAGTGACAATGCCATGCAAATGTAAATATACGATTTTACAGTTTTAGTTTGGCTTACAATAAAGATGAAATCCTGGGCGACCCCGATATTACAAATAACATTTCAAAACAACATAACTCCGCCAATACTGAATTAACATATTCTAACATCTTTTTCAGCATTGTCTTATTTACACTTACATCTTAACAAATACAGAGTTTTAACCTTACTATAAAGATGAAAGCCCGGGTGTAATGTTACAGTTGTATCACATTTTCTAATTATCGTACATTTACGTTTTCCGGAACGGTTGACCGGCTCCGGCTCCTTTTCTACGCTTGTAGTTTGGTTTCCTTTTCGACAACAAATGCCAAAGGTTACCCCTCACACCGAAGGAAGTTTAAGTGTAAAAGATTACCTCCCTGCTCCTGATGTAAGTAAATACCTGTATACATTTGATAGGTAATATGTTACCAATTCTTTCGCTGTCTAGTTTCTCCAAAATGTTGATATTTCTTTGAAATTTATTGATTGAATACATTCGATTACCGGTGTTATCGTCCCTCATTTCAAGCTTGAAATTGTTGCATAAATATGTATCAATCATAGTGTTGGAATCGCTTGTAAATTCATACTCGATCATCACTTCCAATCAAGTGACTGATGTTCGACTAATTGAACGATCAAATTGAACTTAAATTCAGTAAAGTTTATATTCGCTTTCCGAAATCTACTTTCACTTTCGTTACCGGGAAACCCCGACGTTAGAGAATTTGGCTAATAACGCACAACATTCATACAAAAAACAATAAGTTTGTTGACAGAACCTTACTAGCTCACCTGTAGGAATGAAAGGATTTGTTTCATATTTGGTCTGAAGCATCCTTGGGAAACGGGGAACGAATTTTGTATAAACCGTGGGTCTGGCCCCCCTTTGGGTTGAGGGGCAGGGCCCAATAGGGTAAATACAGCAAATTCTTTACCATCCTTCTTCTTCTGTAGGAATAAAGGAATTTGTTCCATATTTGGTCTGAGGCATCCTTGGGTGAAGGGGATCCAATTTTGTATAAACTGTGGGTGTGGCCCCCCAGGGGCCTGAGGGGCGGGGCCCAATAGGGGAAATATAGCAAATTCTTTAAAATCCTTCTCCTCCTGTAGGAATGACGGGATTTTGTCCATATTTGGTCTGAAGCATTCTTAGGTAAAGGGGAACCAATTTTGTATAAACGATGGGTGTGGCCCCTCTGGGACCTGAGGGGTGGGGCCCAATAGGGGAAATATAGGTAAAACTTTTATAATCTCAATTCTACCATAGGGATAAAGGGATATTTTCCTAATTTAGTCTGGAACATCCTTAGGCAAAAGGGACTCAATTTCGTATAAACAGCTAGTGTGGCCCCCCTGTGGGCAGAAGGGAGGGGCCCAATAGGGGAAACATAGCAAATTCTTCAAAATCCTTCTTCTTCTGTAGGAATGACAGGATTTTGTCTAAATTTGGTATGAAGCAGCCTTGGGTGAAGGGGAAACTATTTTGTATAAGCAGTGTGTGTGGTCTCCCAGGGGGCAGAAGGGCGGGGCTCAATTGGAGAAATAGAGGTAAAACCTTTAAAACCCTACTCAGACCATCGGGATTATGGGTTTTTATCCTTATTTAGTCTGGGGCATCAATGGACCAAGGGGACTCAATTTTGTATAAATGGTGGGTATGACCC